CAGTGAGTTTATCAGAAGAATACCCGGCTACAGTACACGTCAGTTGAGCGCTGTCGCTCTGCGGCACTTGTTAATTAAACCCTTATTAATTTAAAAAGTGTCAAAAAAGCTAAGCCAAGTGTACTACTTTACTCGTAGTTTCAGTACTGCATCAGCAATAAGTAAAGGTGTAACGATTTATCACTGCAATGGTAATCATGTCAGTAATGACTGATGAAGTCGTACTCACTCAGATGATTTGATGCCCAAACGACGCACCTCCACCAGACCTTCCTTCACAAGTGATTCTGTCACGTTCTCCGCAGTTGTATCTGCAGGTGCAAGATGTGACATTTATATTAGTCATTATGTTATTATTTATTATATTACTATATTTGTTAGACACAATTGTCGTTGTAGCTTAATTACATTGAATTCTACACCTGAATTTGCCAGTAGCACACGTTATTTACCTTCCCTTTAAATAAATGATTCATGTAGAAAACTTCTTCATAAAATTTTGTCAGTCGTTGTGTTATTAATGGATCAGTTATTCAGTGGAGTTATGCCAAATAATAAATTATATTACACTTACAGTGTACTTGGAAGATATATACCTATGTAACCCAGTTTCACTTTCTGTGAATCTGATATAACATCTTAAAACTAAATATAAATTTGCAAATTCTTAATCTAGTACATAAACAGTTTTATAACAATCAAATTCTATTACAACCAGAAACATCTTTCAGTTCATTAAGATTACAACACTATTGATGAAAATGAAACATGGTATGCATTAAATCATCTATAATGCATAAAAGGCCACACTTGAATTATTACTGGTTCAGTGTATCCAAACTCCAAACAACAACACTTAGTCATTGCATATGAATCTTTTATAAGGGAAATCCAAGATAATATATAAAGATACAGCACTGTCAGCAAGTGGTTGCCCTACTTCTTTGCTGTGATTGTTTAAAAAATCTAAAATTTCTGATTAAAGTCAAGACAACACTTGCGCCAACCTAGAAAAAATTTTGCTCTGCATCTTGATAACAATGAGATGGCTCACCTTTGCCAATGTAGACTATGCCGTATTCCCGGTCGGCTCCCGGTGCCTTATACTCGACGATGAAACACACCTCCTTCCCCACCAGCTTATTACGCAGAAACTCCCTAGCTTCCCATGCATATGGCTAAAAAGACAAATCGTAACTTCTGAAAATGACAGGTGATCTGACCTACGGATAAAGATAGAGAAATTTTATTTGCATATATATAACACATTTTTTTCCAAATATGACAAATTTAATGCTACAGTCTGCTGCTAATGCTGCTGAGCACTGCTATTGCTAGAACTTCTATCACATGTCTGGTGATTACCAAGGAATACAAACAAGCATCGGGGGACAAGACAGCTGAGTGATGTAGGCATGCACCCAAGCAGGACACAGTATAATTGGTGGCTGTCATTGGACAGAAGAAAGTTAGCAATATAACTATTAATTAGTAACTACCCAGGGATGTATACATGTATACAGTTATGTATACATGTATAAATCAGCAGGTAACTGAGCTGAGTAGAACCTGGTAGCAGGGTGGTCCACAACCTAAAACCGAAACATGTAAAACTGGGAACTTTAGAGGAGTACTTTAGATATTATTTGAAATTATGTGCGAGGAGCGCGGGGATTTTAGATGCTCTCTGGTGCAATCTGAGCCTTATTTTGGAGCATTTTTGCACAAAATTTATGACATATTTCAAAATAATTTGGGTTGAGTCAAGAGTTATGAGTGATGAGTCATTTTTCATTGTTCAATTTGTATACTATTACTAGTGTGAATGTAACCAGTAAAATGTTATAAAGCAATGTGTGAAAAATGCAAATAAATATACTATAAAGTGAAACTATATTTCGCTATATTTAATTCGGACTGATCGCCGTTACTGAGTAGAAAATCAAATCTCGTAATAAAGGCTTTAAATTCCTACTTTCCTTTTCCTAATTGCTGCCCAGGCATCTGCTGCCCCATGGAAGCAGGAGGCAGCTCATCACTCGCAATTTCATTGTCAGTTCACTACTACTCGTGCAAGCGTTTGATGTCTCCTCCTTGTTAGAAGGAATCTGATGAAATAGGCTGGTTATTGTGAGCTGTTTTTTATTCATGGCGTATTGCGAAGCGCTATGATATGAGGCTCAGGACACGTGAAAGTCTATGTCGGACTAGTTATTCGTTTGGCTAGTTGCCCCATTAGACAACTAAAAAATTTCTAGTTGTGTAATATTCCTAACATCCTTTGAGCCAGGGTGCTATCGCACGACATTCTCATGTAATATTTTCAAAGGTCGCCGAAAAAGCGGCCTGCGAGGCACGCGTCTGTGGCTGTGCACATCGACGCTGCAGGCGTGCCTGCTAGCTGGGGCGGCATTGATTGAAGTACGGGAAGGGGGGGGCGCACACAATTGTTTCAGTCGTGTGGTGCTAATCACTACTGAAATGTAGGGGGTGGGCACCGCTGGACTACGAGAGAGCGACAGCAAAACTCTTTCCTGGAATTGAGGAAAAAGCTACAATTGGGAATGACACACGAGTGTGCCGGCACGCAAAAATAAACGTGTGAATTTCATAACGATTTTCCAAGGATTACCATTCTATAATCTTACGGGTCTACGTAGGCATGCCCGCAGGCACACAGGCACACACGCATGCACGCACATACAGGCACGCGCGCATGAATCAGAGCAAGCAGCTCAGAAGACGTAGACGCACTGTATGACTCGACTGCCCGACAGGTGGGAGCCCATGCACAGAGTAAAACAGTGTAATAGACTGTAATAGTATATGGCATATGCTACAAGCGCATGCTGTGACTACGCGTACGTCGTCCCGTTCGACAGTGCAGTACAGTTGCATTTTGCTTTGTTTGTGTTGTTTCTTGCTTTGATATTTCAAACCTGTCGGCCTTACATGTTAAAACCCCTCGTGGACCACACTGCTGGTAGCAACCCAGGAACCACGAACATGGACAGAACAGGATCCTCTCAAAAGAGACAGATTGTGATGCATGCACCAAGCCACAATGACAAGCCTACTAAGGATGTCGAGCATGTTTATTCACTTTGAAACATGATCACACCTTATTGCTGACATTGCATCTCCTTGACTGTACATACCTCATCTTTTGTTTCCACCGAATTTGGCGCATTTGGGTTGGATCTACGAGCCAGCTTCGGCGCAACGATGTTAGATAAGCACACCGTCCTCTCAGGAGGGGGTCCTCCCTTTGGCTGGCCTCTCACCACCACCGCATCGCCAGACTGAACCTAATAAAGAAAGACATCCATACATCAGATGTCAGTATTTGGTATAGTCTATAAATACACCATAGTTTCAATTACACTTCCAATTAGGAACAATCACGAAGAACATGGAATTTTGATGAATAACAATTAAACAGCTGTTTGTCTGATGCCCTGGAGATCCAGTCCCAGCTGTTACCTGTTTAACGATTCCATGGTGCAGCACTGGAGCAGTTGCTTGTGCAGACATAGCTATATCGGAAAAACAGTAAAAGGCAAAATGTACTAGAACAACTACAGATAAATAGTATGTACATTTTGTGATTCACTAACAGCTGGTTGATTAAATATGATCTAGCAGAGCTTATAAGTTGTATCCTCGTGTTATCTCAGCCAGGTTGTCAATAACATTCCTGTGTGTCTGCGCCTGGTTCATCTGGATGGGGTAACTGCATGAACGTATAATAATATTTAATAATATTTATTGATTTATATTGGCAGATCATGCCAGATGTGTGTAGGACCAGTCATCTATTACTAGTATAGCATACACTAGCTCTAGTACTATAGCCCGCGTGCATTGACTGCCGCAGTCAATGTACGCGGGCTATAGTACTACTACTAGAGCTAACCATACACGTAATCACTTTACAGCCAGTGCTGTGTGTATAGTAGTAAACTAGTATCTCTAGCTATAATGCATATACACTAGGGCACCTACAGCATAGTCTATAGATACAATCTCCGTAATACCGTATAACCGCAAACCGGCATAAATGTTCACAACAAATACGCGATAGCTAACATAATTTATTAACTGTAGCAGTTGAAAAAGCGCCGTTGAAGCATTTCGGTTATGCGAAATAAGTAATTTCTTAATAAACCTTACCGTACCTATGAATTTTTTAGGCTTCTAACTACCGCAGAATTGACAGTTCACTGACGCTTGTTGGTGATGTGGCGAACGCTTGCATGGTAGGACCGCAAAAACACATGAAAAATATATTGGTAAAAACATTTATTATGTACCTATACGAGCTATTAATTAATTTTTTGATAATTAATTCATGCAAAATCTGTAGTAGGTAATACTCTCTTTTTAGTGATATTTTAAACGGGTTATAGCCCAATGAAACGAAATAATTGATGCGAAAATGGCGCCAGGTATGATTCTAAGAGTGAAGATTAGTAAACTGTTTTCATTTGATTTGGATATTAGTGTTGGTCTTGATTGGTTTAGTCGCCTCACCGTTTTGTACTCACAAAATCCTAAGATATTTTTAATGATTTTATGGAAAGGCCTAAATTGCACGAATACGGATGTGTCCCAGTGCCAGTGCCACACTGCCAGTGGCAGTGCCCATGCGGCATGCAGTGGCAGTGGCAGTGGCACTGGCAGTGGCAGTGGCACTGCCAGTGTCACTGTCACTGATACTGATAGGATTAGGGTCTATGTCCCCCAGGGTACTGCCGGAACGTACCCTGGTAACTATCTAGCTGATATGGTTAGGGTTAGTGTTAGGGTTAGGGAGTATAGGCGTAGGCGACTCCCTATACTCGTTAGTGGAGTAGGCGAGGTACGGTCCGGCATATTAGATGGTAGTATTTAGTACCAGGGTACGTTTCGGTATACCGGACCGTGGTGTTGTCAATCGGTTGTAATTTCGTAATCGATCATCGGTTGGACCCAAGTAACCGATGATCAGTTACAATCGGTTACTCGGGGTGTTGTCTGTTGAATGCCTGCGTGTGCGTAACGTCGTGTGCATCTACGTGTGTGCATGTATGTGCTTGTTTAGCCCTGTTTACTGTTTG